CTCAAGAATGGCTCCATTCTCGTTATCTTCTCTCGTTTTCAGCTCTTCTCTCGTTTTCAGCGCTTCGTCTCTCCATGCGCCTCCACTCTCGTTCTTGCCCCTGTTGCGCGTTCTCCCCTGCCCGGCGTCGCGCCACGCAGAGCTGCGAATGATGAAGGAGCGGTTCGCGAAGCTGTTACTGGGCGAGGACATGTCGGGCGGCTCCAAAGGCGTGTGCCCCGCGCTCGCCATGTCCAACGCCATCACCAACCTCTCAGGTATGCGCGCTGCTCCTCGCACGCATGTATCTTTCACTCGCATAAAGTCTTGCTGAGTTTTGACCGCAGAAAGCCAGCTTTTCGTTTCTTTCCCAAACGGGTGTCTTTCTTTCCCCCTCTCCCGTTTCCCGCACTGGTTATGGGCATGCCGCTATCTATGCTCGCGTCTTTCTCATGTCATGTCATGCCGTTCTGCCATCATGCCATGACTAGTGGCGCTTCATCGCGCATACCCCGTACAGTCACGCCCGCATAACCACTCCCTCCTTCGCCCATCCCACTCAACCCCCTCCCCCCATGTTGAGGCCTTTCGGAAGAAGCTCACCATCCCTGCCCCTCTCCCGTTCCCCCCAACCACCCCCACCCTCCCCGCGCACTCCCCCACTCCTCCTCGCCCCCCACCTTCCCCCGCCCTTGCCCGCTGCCCGCCGCGCAGTGTCGCTGTTCGGCGAGGGCATGCGGCTGCGGCCGCTATCGGCGGACTGCAAGCGGCGGTGGCGCATGGAGATGGGGATCATGCTGTCCGTGTGCCAGCACATCGTCGAACTCGTGCCGCAGTCGCAAACCATGCCCGACGGGTCCACGCAGGAGGTCCGCCTCTCGCGCGCTCTCCCTTTCACCCACTCGCTCGCTCACTCGCGCACGCACGCACTCACTCAGTCACTTACCCGCTCACGCACCCACTCTACGCACCTGCTCACTCGCTCACTCACTCGCTCGCTCGAGGAGGACGTGCGTAAAGGGGGAGTGATAGTTAGCAGCAAGGGGATTGCTTTTTGCTTTGTGCCGTGTGGCTAGCACTCCAGCCCAGCTTGATGCATGACGCGTCATTCGCCGATCGCTCGCTCCATCGCTCCTTTGCCACCACCCCCGCCCCCGCCTCACCACCAACTCCCCCCACAAAACTCCTCCACTCACACCCCACACCCGCCCCATCCCCACCCCCTCCCCCCGCCCCACTTCCCCGCAACTTCCGCGCGTACCGGCGCAGGTGATGGTGACGAAGCAGCGGGACGACCTGCGGCAGCAGCTGCCTGCTCTGCGCAAGCTGGACGACATGCTGTTGGTGCGCGGGGGAGGGGGGAGGGATAAGGGCGGTGACGGGGGAGTGGAAGCGGGAGGGAGGTGGGGGGAGGGGGGGCGGGACAAGGGGGCATGGGGATGATTGACGGCGAAGGGGGGGAGTATTAGGTGGAATGGGGTGCCTGTGGGTGGAACGTGCCGTATGGTGTGGTGGCTGGCAGCTGATTGCGAGCATTAGTGGGAGGTTTAGTCTGCCATCCTTTTGATCAACATATCAGGCCGTCTCTACACTGACGCTAATCTCACTCCCACAACGCAACCCCTTCCCTCGCCCCTTCTCCTTCCCTCCTCCCCTCCCTCCTTTCCCTCGTCTCCTGTCTCTTCCTCTCCCTTCACTCTCCCACTACTGCTCTCCGCGCTCCCCTTTCCCACTGCTCCCCTCTCTCTCTCCTCCCCATCCCCCCGCATGCAGGAGATGTTGGACGAGTGCAACAGCACGGAGTACTGGTACACACAGGAGCGCCCCGACCCCGTCGCCAACGGCGCAGTGGACGCCCACAAGGCCGCAGGCTCCTCCTCCTCGTCCCGTCGCAACCCGCGCCACCGCGACGGGTGCACGTGCGCGGATTGCCAGTCGGACGCTGAAGACGACGACGGGTACGGGGGCGGAGGAAAAAAGGGGTCGAAAGGGCGAGGGGGCGGGGGCGGCGGCGGCAGCAGCGGTGGGGGAGGCGGCGGGGGAGGGGTGATGCGGGAGTCGAAGACAGGCAAGTGGTGGCGGCCGGTGCCGCGGGTGCCGGTGTGTGGGTTGAGTGAGGCGCTGCGCAAGCACCTGGAGCACCAGATGGAGAAGGCGGCTCAGATTGTCAAGCTCGCCATGGCCATTAACACCCAGGCGCTTGAAGACATGGCCGTGCCTGCTGCTTACACTGACAACCTGCCCAAGGTACGCTGGGTGGGAATGGGGGCCACTGCTACTTTTGAGGCGCCTCAAAGGCCATCAACACACAGGCACTCGAGGATATGGCCGTGCCTGCTGCTTACACCGACAACTTGCCTAAGGTAGGGCTGGGAATGGAGACCCGCTGCATGCATGTGTGGCTTTTGTGCTTTCTCTGTTGCTGCTGTTCTTTGTTCTGCCGTCCCTCACTCGCCCCCCCTCTTTCTTCATCGTCCTGCCCAGTCGCCCTTGCCCTGGGCATGCCGTCCCCTCCATCTCTCTCCTCCAACCGTTCCCTCCCCTCGCCTGTCACTCCACCACACCCACACACAATCCCCTTCCGGGGCCCCTAACCCTCCCTGCAACACTCCCTTCCCTGCCCCCCCCCCACATCCCACTCTCCTCCTCTCCCACACACCCGGCAGTCGGGGCGGGCGGCACTGGGCGACCAGATATACTCGGTGATAATGAGCAGCAGCTTCAGTGTGGACCGGGTGTTGGACACAGTGGACCTCACCAACGAGCACGCCGCACTCAAGCTCGCCTGCCGCCTCGAGGCCGCTGTCTACCACTGGCGCAAGATGGCCCCGCCTCCCCCCACCAGGTGCGTGCATGTGCTCACTGCGCCTCTCCCCTGAACCGCCCCCCTCCCCCCCTCCTCCCATTCTACTGCCACCACCAATTCTCAGAGGTACCTTTGACATTGGCTTCTTGTTCCTGCCTTGCTCTTGCCATGTGAGCGTTGTTTGTATCATAGTTCCCAGCTTCCCTCCTTTCAGCTCTCTTGCTATGCTCCAACCGCCTCGCCTCCACGTCCCTGCTGCGTCCAACCTCGCCCCATCCCCCCATCCCCCTCCCCTCGCCACTTTTCCCTCTGCTCATGCCCCTTGGTCCCCATCAGGTCCCCCCAGCTGACGCACTCAATGAGCGGGCACTATTCGAGCTCGGGGCCGCTGGGGCGAGATGTGTCCAAGTTTGAGGAGAATGCCAACCGAGCAGAGGCATGCCTGCGCAGCATCAAGGACCGCTGCCCCTCGCTGCCCCAAACCACTCTCGACACCTCCAAAATCCTCTACAACACGGTCGGTACAGCAGCACCATGTCTTCTGCCGCATGGCACCACTTGCTTGCCTTACCCTTGCTAAAAGTGTGCAAAACTGTGCCTTCTCTCCCTTTCTACATGATTCGTCGCTCAGAGTTCACTTTCTGTCGAATATCCCATCCTTCCTCCCCTTCCCACTCACCCGCCATCCCTCCCTCCCGCCTCTCCCGTACCCTTTGCCTCTCCACCTCCCCTCCTCCCCTCCCTTCCCCTTGCCCTCTTCAGGACGTGGGGAAGGCGGTGTTGGAGAGCTATTCCCGTGTGTTAGAGGGAGTGGCATCAAGTGTGCGCACGCGCATTCTAGACGTGCTACACGCGGACTACCTCGCTCACAACCCCGACGAGCACACGCAGGACCACCCCCTGCCCACGCGCGTGGTGGACGAGCACCCGCCGCAGCAAATGAGGGAGCGCCACCTGGACTTCAGCCTGCACATCCCCGACAACGCGTTTGACGCGGCCTCAGATTATGACGAGACGGGGTCGGTTTATTCTGATTGGAGCACGCCGAATCTCACTCCTGTGGGGCCGGCTCCTCACCATGTGCACGGGCACGGGTATGGGCATGGACATGGGCATGGGCATGGGGGAGGGGGAGGAGGGGGGTATGGTGGGAGTGGGCATGGAGGAGCGGGAGGGAGCGGGTCGGGTGTGCGGACGTTTGAGATTCGGCAGCAGAGCCTGCCGGTGCGGCTGGGGAGCAATGACCCGCGCATGCAGGCAGAGGCACAGCGAGCCATTGAAGCCGCCGGGGGGGGAGGGCCACGGGGGGGGTTGCGGCCACACAGCCCAATGCACGCACAAGGGATGGAGCGGGGGAGAGGCTCAGGGGAGGCGGGCATGGGGGGTGGTGGAGGCGGCATGGTGCCTCCTCCGTTCATGCGGTCTGTCACGTCTCCCACTCACCGTGCTTCTTCCTCTCTTGAATCCTCTGCTCCAGGGGGAGGAGGAGGGGGGAACGCAGGTCAGGGCATGCAGAACATGCAGGGTCACAATAGCTTCAGTGGCCGCCCATCTCCTCCTACCGGCCAGTACCCATACTCCCCCCCTGAGCACCGCTTTGCACCTGGACAAGGGCAAGGGCATGGGCAAGCCCAAGGGCAAGCACACGGACAGGGGCAAGGGCAAGAGCAAGAGCACCAGGGAGGTGGGTCGAGTGCAGTGCCGTACAACCATGCAGCTGCAGCGGCAGCGGCGGCAGCAGCAGCAGCTCGCAATCTGAACCGTTCTAACTCATGGAAGGGTTTCCTGCCATCGCGCAGGGGATCTACCCACCATGCTGCCGCCGCTGCTGCTGCCTCTGCTGCAGCAGCAGCAGGTGGTGGCATGGGCATTGTAGGGGGGTCATCAGGAGGCGGAGAAGGAGGAGGAGGGGGGGGGAGTCCGCAGATGGCTGGGGGAGGTGGTGGGGCGTATGGTGGGGAAGGAGGGTCGCCAAACACAGGATATGGTGTGTACAGCATGGGAGGAGGAGGGGACATTGTAGGAGGCTTGGTTGGGTCTCGTAGTGGCCCCTTGCCGCCTCATGCTCCCAGGGGCCTGGGGCACAAGCAGAACAGTGGTGACTGGAGCATGTCGTGAGGCTCCGGGGTTTTCTGTGTGGAAAACCAATGCAATGTGTAGATGTGAGGTGTGGAATTGGGTCTCGTAGTGGCCCCTTGCCGCCTCATGCTCCCAGGGGCCTGGGGCACAAGCAGAACAGTGGGGACTGGAGCATGTCGTGAGGCTCCGGGGTTTTCTGTGTGGAAAACCAATGCAATGTGTAGATGTGAGGTGTGGAGTGCCTCGGTTCTAAATCTTCTGGTACGGTACCAATGCTAGGTTTATTTATTTAGGGTTCATTCTGTACCAGGTTCAAGGATGTGGGTTATTTTGGTCTGCTGTATGGGGATTAGTTACAGCCTACAGGGACTCGGGACAACTGTTCTGGTGGCAAGTATGGTCCTGTGGTTCATGCCAAACATGGCTGATGTTAGTGCTCATAGGAGCACGCTCAGGTGATTATTTTTGCAGCTGTTCTTTGGAGCTTATGCATGTATTTATGGCTGTGGCTGAAAATGGTCATTGAGAATAATGCTTCCACGGAGTAATCACTTAGGGTATTGAAATTCGTCAATCATTTCGGCACTTGGAACTTATGTTAATCTAACGTCAATTATTCCACGTTAGAACTTTCGGGACCCACTTCCACGTTGTTCGTGTCCTCTCATTGGCGGGTTCCTCGTAGGTAAATCGTCGCAACGCTAGGCTTCTGTCACCGCGCTGGAAAAATCTCTCGCAAAGTGGTTACTGAACACAAACGCCAACTCTTCGCACATGGACAACCCCGCTCGAGGGAACGGGTGATATTTGAGGAAGAGGCAAGTTTCTCTAAACTCCAGTGATCCCACTATCTTCATTGAAACGACAGCCCGCAGCTACGAAATTTGTTCACTTCCTGATTCCGCCTGTGCCGTAGCTTTCTGAGCTAATCAGTGTAATCCTCGCCATGTATCACACGCAGTGGTCGCGGAGGGTATCGTCCCGTCGCGGAGCCGGTGCTCCGGTGTACGTCTACATCATGGCGTTACAAGCGCTCCAGCAATTCTTCCAGCAGCCGTATTCTCCGCCGGTCACCCTAGGGCTCATCGCGTTGATGGCGGGAGTCCACTTTCGACCCGCAGGATTTCTGGAGGATAGTCTTCCGTACGTGTCGGAGATTTGCATGAATCCAGCTCTCGTCGTCCAGGTAAGCCGGCATAATTATCTTGCCAAATCGCGCGAGCCTCTGAATTCGTCTCCGCGCGAGCGGCTGAATTCATTTCGCGCAACGGGCCTGGATTTCCTGTCTTTCCCGTCGTGCCCCTGCCTTCGCACCCACTTTACCCGCTTCTCTCCCGCTCTCCCGTTACCCATCCCTGGCGGCTTCCAGGAGCGCAACTGGCGGCGGCTGTTACTGAGCGTGCTGTTCCACGCGGACGACGCGCATCTGATCTTCAACATGGTCTCGCTCCTCTGGAAGGGCGTGCATCTCGAGCGCCGCCTCGGCTCACCGCGCTTCGCGGCCCTCGTGGCTGCCTTCGCGCTCCTCTCTCAGTCCCTGCACGTTGCTGCTGCGCGCTTGCTGTCTGACGTGCTCGCGGTGCACACGCCGTTCTACAGGGAATGCTCCGTGGGGTTTTCAGGAGTGTTGTTCGCTCTGAAAACCGTCATGAACGCGGATTCGCCCGCTTACTCGTCTGTGTATGGGTTTGTGCTGCCCACTAAGTACGCAGCATGGGCAGAGCTGCTGCTGATTCAGCTGCTGGTTCCGGAAGCTTCTTTCCTAGGGCACCTGTGTGGGATCCTCTCTGGCCTGATCTACCTCCATGGCCCTTCCCTCCTGCCGCGCTCTGCTCGTGCCTCCGCCATCCTGTCCACGCTCGCTGCTCCGCTGCTCACGCTCTTCCCGTTTCTGTGCAGCTCAAGAGGGCGCACTTGGGGGTCGGGACAGTCGGGGCAGGCCGCCAGGGGGGGGACAGGGGGCGGGGGACGAAGTGCGGGAGCAGCAGGAGGAAGAGGTGGAGGTGGAGGTGGGAGGGAGGAGGCACCAGCAGGTGTTGGAGGTGGAGGTGTATGGAGGTGCCATGCATGCACATATGACAATCCATGGCAGGCTGTGCGGTGTGCCATGTGTGAGGGAGCACGGCCAGCGGGGGGGAGAGATGTGGGGAGAGGAATGGTTGATGAGTATGGAAGAGACACTGCTCCTTCTGCACCTACTTTTCCAGAGGTGGAGGACGAGGAGGGGAGGAGTGGAGTAGCTCAGCAGCAATCACAGCAACCTCACATGCAGCAAGGGCATGTCAGTTCTGCAGAAGAGCTGAGGGCTCTGAGACTACAAAGATTTGCTAGGTGATGATGGCTGGATTGTCTGCCTGCTTGGATTAATGAAGACTTACGATATTGTGCTGAGATCTAGTGTTACATTGTGTCAAAGCCATCAATAGAATATACCGTCATCGCCCGGATATAAGACAGTGTTGAATAGTAGACAGGGGTTGTCTACTATACGGGTATCTCTTATAAACAGGCTAGCCTTTTTATACGACACCTATTTGTGTGTACGAGTTAAGACATATATGTCTTATAATCAGAACCGGGGTTTAGGGGTTTTCTTATAAACAGGGGGTGTCTTCTAAACGAGCCTTCTTTACTTTAGGGGGGTACATGCATACATTCATGAATCTCTACTTCTACCTAACCCCCCTCAGTCACCGCCTCCTCGCCTGCGCTAACAACAGGCTCTACACCCAGGTCTGGCACTCGCCAGGCATGCCTAGCCGTCTCCCTAGGCTCGATCATGCGGCCAGCCTCGGCCGCCGCCCCGCGGTAGTTGGGGGTCTCCTGGTACAGCACCTCCAGGCCGGTTGCCACTGCCACCTCCCGCACGCCCTCCGCCTGCATCGCCTCCTCCTCCTCCTCCTCCTCCTCCTCCTCTGGAGCCCGACCGAGCAGGCGCGTGTTGTCGCCTGTGGTCCCCCCGAGGGACATGTCCGCGGAGACATCAGTGGTGCTCCTGGCGCGCAGGTGAGACATCACCAGGTGGTTCTCCGTTCCGTCCAGCTTGCTTGAGATCCCACAGTGGCGGAACGCGTCGATGATGATCTGCTTGGGGACTTGATCCCAAGCCTCCGCGATCCACTGCAGCACCACGGGGTGGGGCGGCCTCCGCAGGTTTCCTGCGGGTGGGTTTGAGGACGGGGCAGCGAGATGTTAGAGACACGGACATGAAGGAGCATGTTTAAGACAAGGACAGGAAACAGAATAGGAATAATACCATAAATGAAGGACCAACTCACCCGTATTCGTCTTCAGGTGAATCCCCTCACGCATGAACCACCTGGCGTAGCGCGCTCGCACAGCAGCCTTGAAGCACCGGTTGATTGAGACGTCCAGGGGTTGAATCTGGCTCGTACAACCCGCTGGGATGACTGCAGGGGTGATGCTGTGCGTGCGGTACGACTGAAGCATGGTCTGGGTGATGTGACCGCGGTAGGAGTCCAACACCAGCATCGCACGCCTCGCGTTCTGGCCGCGCTGGGGGTTCAGATGGGGCAGCACCTCCTTGGACAGCCAGGTCTGCACAGCGGTCTCGTCCATCCACCCGTTGTCCTGTGCTTGGACCACGATTCCTGCCAGGCACACAAGGGACAGACGGGCTTCAGCACAGTGGGGCACGCTCATCAGGCAGTCGCACGGTTGAATTCATTACGCTTACCTTCCGGAATCTCACAGTTGGGGACGTTCTTCATCTTGAACCACACCCACGGCCGCAGCTTCTCCCCGGATGCAGTGCACGCGAGCATCACCGTCAAGCGCGTTTTCTGGTAGCCTGCAGTGCGGATTGGGACCGAGCGCGCGCCGCGGTGCTCGATCGTCCGTTCGGCTGGCATCTCCACGAATAGTGGAGTCTGGTCCGCGTTGATGATGCGGGCCAGGTCGATGTTGTGCCGCGCCCTGTTGATGCGCACGAACTTCCAGAAGGACTCGCAGTCCTTCGCGCACTCTGCAAACGGTACACGCGCAACGGAAACACGGGATAGTTAGACACTGGGTGAGGGACATGCATTCAATAGCCCGCGCGCGACACGAATTCCTTCAACACGCACCTGCCGACAGTCGTTGGCCGACCTTGGTCTTCACCCGCATCACCAGGTTCCAGCGGTCACGGAAACGCTGGCTCCAGTGAGAGCTCGCGTTCCAGTTCTTGCCGGTGTGATGCTTCTTCATCCACTCGCGGCTCCACTTCTGGGTGTCCTTCACCGAGATGGCCACCCCGTTAGCGCGCTAAAGGCAGATGTAGCGGTACAACGCTGCCTCCATGTCGGGGTAGTGTGAGTGGCGCCCCCCCCCCGTGCATCCGCTTGCGGCAGTTAGCCGCGCCCTTGTAGACGCCCGCAGCCGCCTCCGCACTCCAGCGTCTGATGCAGGCGATGGACGCGGTTGACTCCACGCTCGTCTTCTTCAAGGAGCCGAGCTCCAGATAGCGGCGCGCCCACTTAAGCTTCTCACGCACGGTCCAACTGCGGCGCTTCCTCGTAGTGTCCTTGCTGCGAGGGGAAGGTGGGCGGGTGTTGGGATTATGGAGGGTGGGGTCCTTCGGCGTGACCTTCTCAGGGAACGTGGGAATCGGGCCCGCCGCCGCCGCGTACTCATCGTCGCTGCCCAGAGTCTCGTTCACGACGATGTCGTCAGGATTCGGCGCCTTCATCGCCTTCTTCTTAGCCGCACCCTTGCTAGATCCCGGGTCTCCGTCGGATGTCCGCTTCTTGTTGCTTGTGCGGCGACGAGCAGGGGCCTTAGCAGGGGCTTCCGCGACCTTGGCTTTTCCCTTCTCCGCAGCGGTGAGTTTCGGGCGACGCTCCTCCCCCGGACTGTCGTCGTCAGAGAGCACCACGCGGGCCCGCTTCGACTTGGACTGTAGGCGATGGCGCAGCCTCCGCTTCAGTAGCGGAACGTCGTCGTCTGTCCCAAGGCTACATGGGTCGTCGTCGCCGCTTTCACCGTCAAATAAGACGGCATCCGCAGCAACCGTGTCCGACTCTGCCACAGCATCCGCATCCGCAACTGCGGCCGCGCCGTCTTCAGCCTCCTCATTCGCATCCATCGCCGCTTCCTGTGCATCCGCCGCTGCCTCCGCGTTGTCACCATTCGCATTTTCACCACCGTCGTTGTCCGAATCTCCAGCCCGCCACTCTTCCACCTCGTCGTCGCTCCCGACCGGCCGATTCCACCATTCGTCCTCCTCGATGTCGGCAGGACCTAATTCGTCGCCCGAAGCGCTGTCGTCGTGGCCGTTCTCTGGCCAATCCTCCTCGGCGTCGTCGCCGTTCGCTTCTTCTCCGTCGTCCCCGTCACAGCTCGCACCGGAGGCCGCGGTAGGACTTCCCGCCTTGCTCGCGTTCTTCGCCATGGCTACACGGATGTCATCGCCGGGTGAGTTAATTCGCCCGTAGTTATTCACCTGCACGTGAGGACGAGGAGAGGACGAGCCTGGGGGTACTTTGCTGCGCATGGTTAGAAAGCCTGCCGAGAGCAAGGTTGAGACGAGTATTCCTAAACCCTTGAGCACCAAATGAAGTGAGAGGCCGACTAACCCCCCCAGCCAGAGTGCCCCATCCACAGGTGCCGAGCCGCTCCTCTACGAGGCATCTCCTCGTAGAGGACAGCCCTCACGCTGCCAACGTGCTGCCAGCAGCGTTCTGGAAGCATCCCTGCGCTGCTGGCAGCAAAACGACGCTGGCAGCATCATTAGATGCTGCCAGCACAGAGGAATATTGCCAGCGGTGGCAGCTCCCTCACATGGCAAGTGTGGGCGCTGCATGCATCACCACCGAGGTCGGCCTGTTTCGATGAATCTGGTCTCTGGGTGTTTTCTACACACTTTGCAAGTGTTACAATCAACTTAAATTTTTTTCCATTTATAAGACTTATAAGACACCCTAAACCATCCCGTTTACAAGATAACTCAAGCATTTTTGCCCGTGTACGAGATAAGACATATATGTCTTATATCCGGGCGATGACGGTAGCTGATGACTAGGAATCAATATTAGCAACGAAATTGAATTTCTAATACTAGTCACCTACAATCTACCATTAAGAAGCCTCCCACAGCAGGAAAGCAAACTTAAAAACTGTTGCTGACACTTGCCACAAAGTCAAATCAGGACTTGATACATAGGAACAAAATCGCTTCCCTATTGAAGGGACAAAATTGATGCAGTGAAAGGAGTTATGGCAGCTCCAATCCAGCTTGGCTCCTTCCAGCTGCAGTTCCCTGCTCCCAGCAAAGACAACCTCGACTGCAAAGCTGCCGGCAGCAGAGCAAGTGTGTGTGCGTGCACTTATGAGTGCACCCGAGCGAGTATGGCTGGGCATCCCTGGATGAATGCCAGGTCCCCAAGCCCGCGTTCGCAACAGCCCTCCACAATTGGCAGCAGGGCTGCTCTGATGTCAACCATGCAATCACCTGTGCTCCACATCCTCCTTTTGTCAACACCACTCCTGCAACAACTCCTCCAGTTGTCCTCAAAATTAGTTTATCTGCCAGGACAAGCCATCTGCCTCAACTCGCAACACCTGCAGCACTTGCTTCGCCTCTAGCACCATCTCTACTGCATTCTCCTCCCCTCCCATCCGACCCTCTGGCAGCAGCATCTGCGACGCAACAGCTTCGTCCACGTCAGCAGTGAGCGCCATGAGCAGAGCCATGGTGGCGGCCACTCCCAGCGCTGACACCAGCGGCAGCGGGGACCCATCATCGCCCTCCTTCTCCGGCTCTTCCATCTTTCCGAACAGTTGCATCGTCAAACTGCCGACTGTTCATATGCAGAGAGGGCGAGGGAGCGGGGGGGATGGAGAGACAGGGCGAGCGGAGAGGAGAGGACAAGGGTGAGACAACGCGCTTTGTCTGAAGCGGGACTGGTCACAGAGGGCGTCGAAGTGAAGGCGAGTCAGAGGCGAGAACGTGAAGTCAATTGTGGCAAACACAACCAGAGGAAGGTTCAAGAACCGCAGCTTACCTAGAATCAAGGCCGCACCGACCCAGCCAACCGGACCCCACCGCTCATTCAGCAACACCCACGCGAACGCGGCGCCCCAGAGCGGCTCGAGAGTGTAAACCATGGCGGCCTCGGCGGCGGTGACGTCTCTGAGCGCGACGACTTCGACCCAGAGGCAGAAGGCGGTGGAGAGCACGCCCGTGTACGCCATCTGCCACCACGGCCACGCCTGAATGGCGCTCCAGTCGCACGCCAGCAGCGTGTTAAGCCCGGGAATAGGCACGCCGCTGAAGTTGAGGAGCAGCATCCACGCGATGGAGAGCACGGCGGTGACCGAGAGCTGGAGGGAGAT